ATGTTTTTCCCCAAATAGTTAAAATAAAAATACAGCATTCAAGACTGTACTGGTTTAGAACTGGAAAACAAGGAGGGAATATTTTATATCTAATTGGTTGTCCTTGGGCAGACAGTGGTCAGCATCGCTGCCTCACGGTTCCGGCGCCCTGGGTTCAGTTCCTGGGGTGCTGTCTGTGTGAAGTTTGTATGTTCTCCCCATATTCACAGGGTTTCCTACAGGTTCTCCAGTTTTCTCCCACAGTCCAGAAACATACTGGTTTAGCTGGCATATGGGAAAATTGGCCTGGTTTGAATGTGAGTGCATGCACGTGTCTGTATGTGCCCTGAGATAGACTGGTGTCGCATCCAGGGTGTATCCTGCCTTGTGCCCATTGCTTACTGGGATTAGGTTGTGACCTTGTATTGGAGGAAGCCGTCAGAAAACAGATGGGTGGACATTTTTCCGTAGTTTTAAGTTTTTAATAAATCTTTGTTTTAAGCCATGTGATCAGAACACATGGAAAGAGACCATTAGTCTGAACCTAGTCCTGTCTGGTAAAATGTCTGTGAAGTCATGAAATCCTAAAACTCTGTACTAGCATAGAAAAAAAAGAAGCCAAAACAAAATTTGACTTACTGTATTAAGAGTTTATTGTAAATATATACGGATATTTTGCTTGCTGTATTTTGCAAAGTCTGGTTTCATACTCTTCAAGTTTATGAGCCCATGCAAAATTGCTGTATCAAAAGGCGTAAAATTGTTGAACAGGATTCAAGTACAACGTCATTTGATTTTCTTTGTGTCCAGCACTGGGATACTAATATTTTTCACATGCAAAGTTACAGAGCTGCACTGTATTTTAGAGTCAAGACACATTCTGATATAAACCCACAGCCATGCTAACATTTTTTACAATGCTATGTTCTTTACCCACAACCAAAATATGTCACTGAGGGATGGGACGTTAATAGCAGTCAATATTTATTTCTGCAATCAACGTGCAATATTTCACCTAAACTGCAAAAGCAACGCACTACTTCTTAGGAACAGCAGTCATATTCAACAAAGGGTAAAGCAGACATAACATGCAATTAAATCTTTGTAATTTGTCGTAGGAAACTTCAAGAAATACTCTTCAAGAAACAGTGTTCAGTGCATCGGGGAAAAAATTACACACTGAAGAATAACTATTAAGTCTTCGTTTTAACTCGAGACCAAATGGGATTTAAAAATGTTTGAAGAAACAACTCGGACTGAGAAGACACTATTTCCTTATGAATTATCCTGTAGAAGATACAAGACATAAGTTCAGGAAAACATGGGCTTAATTTGACCCCTTTGTGTGTAACTCCTTTACTCAGATGCACAAGGAGCTTTCTGTATGAAACAACAGGCGCCTCAAGCAGGACGTGATGTTGTAGTTTTAAATGTGGAATGATCAATTCGCCAAGTTTAGACACTATAAAAGCATGGAGTATGTCAGTAGAAGATGGAGATCTACTTTACCTTAGTTATTTCTGCTAAATTTATACATGGTACAGTTTTAATGTAAATGTATTTAGAGACAGATAATTAATTGGACACTAATTTACCCAGGAAACTAGCAAAAACAATCTTGTAGCACAGTCCAGTGCAGAAAGATTAGAAAAAAAAATACAAATAAGTAATTACAATAAACATGTAATTACCATAAATAAACATGACTTTGTCCTACAGAACAAGTACGTTATTAATTCCTAAAATTTGTCTATAAATAGTGAAATTAAATTACATGAAGAAAAACATCTATAAGATTGGGATAGTATGTTGATTAACTTGTATGCTTAAGAGTAATTCAAGACAACAGAACTCCTGAAAACCTACAGAAATTCTTTGAGCCCTTATGTCTGTACAAAACAGCATTCACAAATTACTTTAAAGATAAAAAATATAAGTGCCTTGAATTTGAAGAATCTTTAAAATACTCACTGCAACTTCTTAAACAACCCGGTTCTTAGTTATTCTTTGCAACAACCTGAACTACTTTCAAAACCACTTTAATCTTCTTACTTTCCACCCTTTGTTTTTTTATAGGTTTAGTATGTTTCAGTAAAATATAAGTAATCATGCAACACAAAACCCATTCCTCGATTACACAGACCTCACTTGCAATATTTTTAGTGCACAAGCTTTATTCATATGGGGGGTCAATAGTTTCATCACCAATGAGGTAAAGCTTTAAATGTAATTAATTTATCGAAAATATACAAAAAAATCCATCTCATTAAGGCTTATAATTGTACAAAATTCTATAATACAATGCTACTTGTTGATTTTATGCCTTTTCCCATATGCTACTTTAATATTAAACAATTGAACTATGAATTACACATTTATCATGAACACGTTAATGGTTCACTGTGAACATTATGATTTCAACTATAAATGATGGTGAAACAATACCTACAACAGACCTCTGGCCTACAGTAATTGCAACATAAACGTAAACCTAGAAACTTTAGGAAATACCCGTAGGCTTTGTTTTTCAGGTCTGTTTACAGAATATGCCAGTAAAAAAAAACATAAGTTTACTTACATTTAACCTACCTTATCCACTATTAAAAATCTACTCACAAACAGGCTCATCAAGAGTTTTATTTTTTAAAAACGGTTAGTTTTTTTTCAGGTTAGGAAAACATTAGGGGATAATGATGCAAAATCAGTTTATCAGTCACATTTGTACGTCAATCAAAAATTAGAGGACTGTAGGAATAATACAGAAAAATAATTGGTACACATTGCCACACACGAACGAAGAAATCCAAACTTTCCAGTCTCCAGGGACTCATTCCATCATGTTGCATTCATATTAAGTGGTTAGTCTGGTTTGAACACAACTACTATCAAACCGTACGCATTGGGTTGACATAACTGCCTTTGCAACCCTTGTTAAAAACTATTTTTTTGTTGTTCAAAATCGCCCAACCCAAATATTTAAAAGTTCATTCACAAGCAAGTATTGTGCTCATATTCATCTCAATGTCATTCGCCATTTTGAAAGGTTTGGATTCTTCTCGGTGAGCAGATATTAATTTAGTTAGGCAAGATTTAAATGTCATCTTTTCCACATTCCAGTCCGCCCAGTGCCTTCTTCACTCTGCTTTGCTGTAGCCTTCCGCGGGTGCCAGGACTTTCTTCCTCTGTCTCAACATGTGAAAGTACAGCTGAGGAAAGACTGTTGAAAGAAAAGAAAGAGCCACTGAAAGTAACATCACTTAAAGCAACCGCATATTTAAGAAACTCCTTTTGAAAGGGCTTATCTCTTCCACATTTCAAGCTCACAAACTAGACTGGCACTGGTAACGCCTGACAGCAAGAATTATTATTTTTTTCTCTTTGTGGTCCAGCTTTTGAAAACACAGCGATATGAAACAGGATGCTTTTCAAATATGAATTCTTCTACTTACGTGGAATGTAAGAGACCATTGTCAGAATGAGGAATGTGTAGTAATCGAAAGAGAAGTTGAATTTGTTTGGCAGTCTGATTGAATACATCCCGGTTTCTCTCACATAGGGAAGAGCAGCATAAATAGTCAGGAGCTCCCCAGTGACTCCCATGGGATACAGAACAATGAAGAGGGTATATCTGGAAAACAGCAGGAGAGGGGACTTTCAGTCACCCAGTTTTCCCCATTTCATTTCTTAGCATTATGCACATCTAAAATAAACAGCCTTGCCAAAATGAAGATGTAGACTTGACAAAGAAGCCAGTGGCGCTATTCTGGCACAGCCTTCCTCAGACCCTGGATCTCCCCATGTGGACAAAAGGCCACGGCACGGCATTTACTGGCTGCAGCGTTCCGCTGTACAAGACCGTACTAGAGAGGCCGTCTTTCTGCTGCAGTAGTGAATTAGAACAGCGGTTCAGAACCAAACAGCAATCGCAGCAGAATGTCGCACAGACAACGTAACAACGATGGGCGCACTGTGATGAATGGAATAAGGAAGTGAGAATATCAAGGTTTAAACTAATATTGTCACACCACAATACAGAGCACAAATAGGCTTATAACGCAGTCACAATACTTCAGATAATCGTAAAATGCTGTCAAATGTTAGTATTAATAAAGGTCTGGTTAAACACCGCTACACGATGCATTTTTGGCATTCACTTTCACAACAGCGACATCTTATTGTGTAAAGCTGCAAATACGTGGGTTGTACACTTCATTGCAGTGTGTGAAGGGATTCACCCACCTGTCATGACGTCATTTCATCTATATACTTTAAAGCAACGATATTAATACATATTCTCTTACACTTGGCTTATAAGCATTACAGTTCCTTAAAATACAGTAGCTTTTAAAGTCAATTTTTTAAACACAAAGCAGAAACCAAAGATGGAATTGGAGTCTGATTCACAATCTGCTACCTGGCAACGCTGGAAAGCAGGGACAGCAGCAAAAACAAGTTCCCTGGGGTAAATCTATTCAAGACCTTGTTGCCAAGGCTTTGAAATCCTGCATTACGCAGCTAAAGCATCACAAACTCCTCTCTTGTTTCTCTGTTACAGCGACATCCTTAGATTTGTAACTTGTTAAAAGACATTGAGAAGTACAGCTATTTATTTGCAGATACTACTTGCAATAATATTACAGACAAGGTGCTAATTTTTTTTATCCTAAAGGTAAACAACAACAAAAAAACCCTCTCTCGCGCTTATGGTTGACTCAACGTTATTTTAAAACGAGAGAAAATCCCCAGGTCGAAGTGAGGCAGTGATTTCTGGAAATGTTTTTGATCGTTTCCCGATCAGCTGGGAATGACGAGGGACATGTCAGGCCAAGATAAAAAGGAAACAGCGAGCCTGCTTTCTCATAGGTAAGAGGCGAGGGGAGAAGTACAGTTCACTCATCTGTTAGTAGACTTGACACAGGAGGAATCCGGTGAGGGAAAAGCAAGGTTACAGACCAGGTTGGGGGGGGATGGTTTTAGCATCAAGGGTTGACCCCTGATTCCCCATGGTTTATTATTCAGGTCATGGTTAATAGGATGCAGGGACCCAGTAATGGGGGATAATGTGTGCAGGTCCTTCAGTGCCAAGCTACCAGGGCAAGGTAACCCGAAATGGTTACTAGCAACCATGTGTATGTTTCAACTACTACGCACAGTCGAATTGTTACCAGTTCTGTATTGCAGAGGTTTGAGTTAACAGAAAGCTACTTCATACTTGCTTACCTTGCCCATTTAATAAGGTATGGCAGATGGTTCAGTAGACTGAACGTGTAGAAGGAGTAGCGAATGATTTCCGTTATTGTCCAAGCAACCACAAAAAGCAGAACGCTGTCTTCATTTTGTACCTGTTAAGGTAAGATAGAGTGCAATGTCAGAACTTATATCATTTTAACTGGCCTCAGTAAGTTAGTCCAGATGCAGGGTGTTATTGAAACTGCTTAAATCTAGCTTGAAAAACGTATGCAATGCATGACAATTTTCACAGCCATTTCAAAGCATGTCAAATTTAGTAATAAGAACAATGCCATTTTTATTACATTGTCTTAATATAGCTACAAGCAGCTTCCAAGGAATTCAAAGGATTCCCAAAAAGTTAACATTCCAGTTAAGCCACACTCATGACAATGTTAATTGACCTTTCTGTTTTACAGCAGCTCATTAGAAACTGACTTACAGGCCTGGATGGTTCAGCAAGATAGTCTCTCTCTGTGGTAAACAAACAAGATCTCACCTTCAGTCAATTCACAGACTGACAATATGGAGGTGAACCCAAACTGAAGCATCAATAAAATAAAACGATCCTCTCGAATACATTCAATATAGCAGCGTGAAAGCTAACAGAAGTGTGCTAATTTGCTCAACAACCAGCAGGGGAGGACAAGGGCTGTATTTTAAGAACTTTCCAGATGGCAGAAGGTGGTAAAACTGATGTCTTTGGTATTTTTCATTTAAAACACTTTTTTTTTTTACTTGCTTCCACAAGACAAAGAAATGTGTTTATGGGAAATTCAAAAAATCCCAAAAGAAAGTCTAAAATACTTGGCTTCGATCTACTTGATCTGAGCTGGGGATGGCAGAAGGGAGCTGGCGTTCCAAGTGCTGACAAAACGATGCCGGAAAAACCAGCCGGTAGACCCTGGCAGCTATTTGGAGTTCGTCCTTTTCCTGAGCTTCCCTCAGAACTCACTGTCAACTTGTCCAAGACTTTGCAAACATTCAGCGAAACATTTCTCACTGCTACTTGCACTTCAGGGTCGCAGGGGAACCAGAGCCCAGACCCGCAAGCACTGGGCACCAGGCAGAGCGCACCCTGGAGAGGAGGCCGATCCTCAAGTTAATCCCTACCTCTCAAGTGTGCTTCCTTTTCTGCACTGGGGTGAAATTACATCTCATTCACCTAGCAATGACACAGAAGCTACTGCTAGTCAGCCAGGACTCTCCAGTGGAACAGGGAACCCGTGATTATTCGGGTACCAGCGGGGAACCTGTGATGTCATTCAGGGACACACCTCTCCTCCAAACAGCGCTGCGCTTCTCGTAAGTGACCGCGGACTTTGCAGCGCAGGGAACGATGAAGGGATATCTGTGGGTGGACTGCTAGGAGGAGGAGCCAGTTTGCATTCCTCATTCCCTCCCCCCCAGCTCATACAGGGGTCGCCGG